CAAGAACCAGAAAATAATCCCAAGGAGGAATGTTTTTAGTGGGTAATAAAATGTGTATAATATATAGAATAAAAGGCAAAAAAGATCCACAGGCAAAGATGGACAGCACAAGATGAAGGGAATCACAGAGTTTATCACAAGTATCTCACCCTCAAAGAAGTAGTGAATTAAGTAATATTCTTCATTAGGTTACAACCAGTCCAGGCCCTTCTGTGACTCAAAATTACCTCCCCCTGGATGTTCCGATTTGATCCTTATAGTAGCTCTCACAATGCTGTTTGATTAAACATTCCCTGGTGATTTGACAGACAAAAGGTGGAGGAAAGAGGGAAACAAGCAAAAATCCAAAGCTTTGGTGTCTCTCTCTTTCATTAAGATGATGCATTCACATTTAAGAAGCTGGGGGAACACACCTTGGTTTAAATTAACATGGAAATTAAATAAAGACTCTGTAAACAAAAGTAATATTCTCCTCACTAGAAAGATGTTGCTACCAGGCTTGTCAGAAGCACATGGTGGGAGCTTCTATTATGTATACATTTTTTAATATCTCTATTTGCATTAATTCCTCTGTTCTTCTATGAAGTTGTTTGCTAAGCCTTCTGTTTGTTCTGAGATTTATCATACCCTGTTTCTGTGAATTCTACTAGCCTCCCATCATCTACCCTGCTTCTCCTAGCTCTGATTCTCCCACAACATAATCCCAGATCAAGCAAGCTGTATAGTCCTACTATCCACCAGATAGTGACAACTGGCACCTGGTGGGGCTGATTACATTGGGTTGGTCAGTTCTGGTAATCTGAGCCAGTGGGTCACAGTAGACGGAACGAACTAGATATCATTTTCTACTCTCTTTCCATGAAAAAAAGTTCTAAATATGTTTAAGCTCTGCATTACATTTTCTCCCATAAGCTAAGGTAACCAGAAACTAATGAAGTAAAACTTCCTGTTATGTCTGAAGCCAAACTCCCAGAGTTTTATTCCCATAACAAACGAACAGTCCAAATCTAGGGTTTGATGCTTGCTTCCCATTCTTGGTTTGTTAGAGAACTTAGAGTTTGGCTTTGGATGCAGCAGGACTTTTTTTTTGTTCCTCTACTATTTTTTAGCTAGTTTGCCGTTAGTTTCTTGTTGGCAAGCAGGGACAGTTAGCAGTATATTTATGAATAAAACAGAATACTCAGCAGTATTGGCTTTTTTTAAATGTCTGAATGCACCCAAATCTTTTCAGAGTGGCTTGGGTCACTGTCACTTCTATGCTAGTGATTTTTGTTGTTGTGATGTCTGCATATCTTTATATGACAGGTAAATTATGATAAATTGGTGACTTAGCAAACTGCCTGATATTTCAATTAGGAACTATTCGCAAGAGGATTCATTATTTTTTCACTGTCTTGGTCTTTATGAAACTGTTGGATAATAGTATGCATTGACTTCTTCTTAGTTATGAAAAGTATCCCAAACATGATTAAAGATTTATTTATACTAGAACTAATTAAATTTAGCACAGTCTCTAAAAATAGCTACATATTAAAACTGATCTGCTTTTAATAATATTTGTTTTTCTGCTATTGCTATGGAAACTTTGGAATATTACAAAGTGTCAGGATTAAAGAGCTATTGGCATAGCTAGTAATTGAATTAGTCCTAGGTATACATGTAGTTGGTTGATTGACAAACAGACAGTAGACTCTGTTCTTTGTTGAAGCAGGAATGGCTTTCAGGAGGATCTGTCTTTGTAGGCCGGAAATCACAGCATTTTAAATGGACTTGAGGATTTGAAAAATGCTTTGACCTCTGTGATCAGAACAGTAAAACTAAAATGAATAAGGAGACAGCTAGAGTGCATCTGGAGAAGGGAACCGACGGGTTATAATACGATAGCTGTCAGGATTGCAACTAACCGTTACCTGGCCAAGGTAAAGGCTGCTAGAAGATCTTACATCACTGACTGGATAAGCGAAGCTTCCAACCAGCAGGCGGAACTTTTCCATATAGTTCACGATCTATCCGGAATCGTTCTGGACGATGCTAGACCTCCCACTAGCATCTCACCTGACCAATTTGCAGCATTTTAAAAATCAAAAGTGGAGGCCATCCGCCGTGACCTTTCTCCTTTTTTAAATGGATCGAGCAGAGATGTCCAGCGCTCCGCCTTGCCTGTTAATTCTTGACTCCTTTCAGCCTGTGACACCAGATTTGGTGGACAAGGCGCTTGATCGCTGTCGGGCCACCACCTCTTCTCTTGACCCTTGCCCGTCCTGCCTAATAAAAGCAGTCAGGCCTGTAACAACTGAATGGGCCACTGCAATAATTAATGGGTTTCTTCAGGAGACACTCATTAGGCTCATTAGGAAGAAACTAAATTTGGCGGCGGACGACACTGGAAATTATAGGCCCATCGCCAACATTTCTTTCCTTAGCAAAGTGATTGAGAGGGTGGTGGGAGATCAGCTCCAGGCGGTCTTGGATGAAACCAACGCTCTGGACCTGTTTCAGTCAGGCTTCAGGCGCTATGGTACAGAGACGGCACTGGTCACACTGTTGGATGACCTGTTGAGGGAGGCCGATGGGGGCAATATGTCCTTGTTGGTCCTCCTCGATATCTCAGCGGCCTTTGATACCATCGACCATGGTACCCTCCTGGGGAGGCTCTCTGAGTTGGGAATTGGTGGCTCGGTGCTTGCCTGGCTCCGTTCCTTCTTGGAGGACTGTCCCCAGAGAATGCAGCTTGGGGAAAATATTTCAGCCCTATGGAGCCTCAGTTGTGGGGTTCTGCAGGTGTCGATCATCTCCCCAATGCTGTTTAACATCTACATGAGGCCTCTGGGTGGGGTCATCAGGGGGTGTGGGGCATTGTGCCATCAGTACACTGATGACACGCAGCTCTACATCTCCTTCTCACCTACCTCAGTGGATGCTATTCTGTCCCTTCAGCGCTGCCTGGAGACAGTACTGAAATGGATGCAGTCGAATGGGTTGAGCTTGAACCCGGAGAAGACGAATGTCTTGAAGGTGGGTGGCCCTTCCATTAGTGGTATAGGTGACTCCCTTTCTTTCGGAGGAAGGACCCTTGCTGCAAAGAATGAGGTCCGCAGCTTGGGGATACATCTGGACCCGGCGCTTACCATGGAAACCCAGGTGGTGTCTGTGGTCCGCTCCGCCTATTTTCACCTACAGCTGATTGCCCAGCTGCGACCATATCTTGATGGGGGGACCCTCACTAGTCCATGCACTCGTAATCTCAAGATTAGACCATTATAATGTACTCTACGTGGGGCTGCCTTTGAGGCTGATGCGGAACCTTCAGGTGGTCCAGAATGCGGCAGCCAGGCTTCTTAGTGGGGTGAGAAAATATCAACACATCTCCCCCACTCTGGCTGCCTTGCACTGGTTGCCCATCCGTTTCTGCTTTGGCTTCAAAGTGTTAATGATTACATATAAAGCCCTAAACGGTTTGGGACCTCAATATTTGGCAGATCATCTTCTCCCACCCAGTTCTACCCGAATCACCCGACAGAGCCAGCAGGGACAGCTGAGGGGCCTGACGCCAAGGGAGGCCCAGAAGGAAAAAAAACAAGAAACCGGGGCTTCTCGGTGGTGGCCCCTCGGCTGTGGAACACACTCCCTACTGAAATTTGGCTGGCACCCACACTGGGTTTTTCAAAAGACAGTTAAAAACTTAGTTATTTAAACAGGCCTTCCCTCCAGCCAATTAAGTGATTTTTTCTCCCTCTTCTTGAGTTCTGCCATCTTGGAAATGTGTTGTTTAAAATTAATTGCAAGAATTTATTTTATATATGTTTTTTGATGTCTTTTAACCTATGTAAGTCGCCCTGAGTAGACGCTGTCCAGAGGGGCAGGGTAAAAATCGAATAAATAAATAAATAAATGAAGGCTCTAGCTATATTCCATCAACTGTGGAGCATTTTATGAGAGAAGTATAATGACTGTTAAGGACATGTTTTTTTCTTTTCTGCTTTAAAAAATTCTGCTGCTGTTGTTGGACTCCAATTCTAAGAATTTCCCAAGCACAACTGTGGGAGTTTCATCCCTCAAACCCACTCCTCTAGACACCTTTATTTAGCTCAACTAGAAAAAGGCTTTTTCCTTCCAAGCTTTTTTGGATTCTAGGCCTTCATTTCCTTTCACAAAACTGTCTGAAATGAACCTACAGCAGTGCTTCATGGGTGTTATAATTTTGCAGCTCTATAGACTCTATAAATGATGGCTACCAGACCCAGGAACCATTCCTCGCAAGCAACATAGCAGCAGGAAATGGAGGTCTAAAATGGCCCTTTCCTAGGTGAACAAAGTGAAGGTGTCTGCCATTGTGGGTCTGTGACATTCACAGAAGTTGTCCAGGTAATTCTTGGAAAATTCTGGAAGTTGGAGTTAAAAAATAAACAAAAAACACTTCCCTAATGGCCTTATAGCGAGGAGGACGAGGCAGAATGTGAAGCTCTTCATAGGTCACCCCACATGACATACTTTTTTTTTTTTGGCAGGACATTCCTAAAACTTTTTTTTTAAAAAAAACCAGTCCTCTTAAGGGTATTAAATATTTGTGTCCTACAATATCTACGATCATATTTCACAAAATGTCTTATTACTATGAAGAGAAAAAGCTGTGGAGAGTTTTAATCCAAGTAGTGGTACAGGAGGAAGGAGAATTACATCCTTTCCTATCAAATTCTTTTCTGTTTCCAATCTCGTTTAGGGAGGAACTTCAAGTACTGAAGTCAGACAAGTAGATGAGTAGCAATATGTAAGTCTGATGAGTAGAATTTTTCAGGTCCATGTCCATAAGATTTTTAATTCAATTATTACAGCAAACTGTTCCAAATTTTATATGTGATTGCTAGGACTCCACCGGACCTCTGAATTAGTTTTGAACAGGTATCGAGTTTAGCTGAAAATGTTATAGCAACTGTTATTTTAGTCATATACATATTGTTTTACTATTCTTTTGAAATGTTTGATATTTTCCTCTGTTTCAGCCAAGCCCTTCACTTCTAAAGTGAAACAGATGCGACTACATAAAGAAGACTTTGAAATCTTGAAAGTGATTGGCCGAGGAGCCTTTGGGGAGGTAAGAATTACAGTACTTAGAGGCTAAATGTGCCCACAATATTTTATGAAGTATTATATAGAACTGTTCAATTTAATTGATGTAGCTTCTTTCTCATTCAGTTTAATGCACTGATCCAGAGTTATTAGTAACATTGCAATCACTAATTTTTCTTTTCTCTTCATGTGATATGGATCTTCCATGTGCAGAGTACTCAGAAGTAGTTTACTGTTACCCTTCTTCGAAGGGTGCTTTCAGGTCGTGTAGCTTGCCCAAGGTTAACCACAGTGGGTTTTCTATTGGGAGGCACAGTGGGGAATCAAACTCCAGCCTCTGGCTAAACAGCTGGATACCTACCTCAGTGGGTTAGGTATCCACATTATATTTATTCTTTGTAAACAATGTGCTCTTGAGCTTTCTATAAATACCAACACTCTAATGATGGTGCTGTCTGGAATGGTTTCTTGAATCTGTACATTTTTGTGCAGTATAAGTAAAAAGACAATTCTTGCAATGGCGTTCAGTAAGCATTGTGATCCTCAATGGTTTTTTCTTTAATGCTAGTCTTTTGAGTTTATGGAGGTCTATGGCTTCACTGTGTTGTCCAGCATTTTCAGTATGCCTTGTTGGCCAAACCAGTACAAGGGGATGGTTTCATTAGGCTTTCCTTCAGTCCTTGCTGCCTCCCTGCCAATCCTTTTCAGGATTCTTGCCTCAGGGAGAGGAGTACATTCTGGATATGTTTGCTGTCCTCAAAATTGCTGATGTGAAGCTCTTTTTCTTCTCTGATCTTACACACCTTGAAACCTGTCTGGAACAGAGTAATGTTGGCCACTGTCACTGCAGTATTTGTGGTATTTGACACAGTTAAAGCTGGACGTTCTTCGATGTTGTTGCCATTACAGCAACAAATTCTTAGGGGTGGCATCCTTTTCCTGCTGAGTGTTGGGCTGTCATTTTGGACTGGTGAAGGGATGTTTGTTTAAAGCAGTTTTATCCTATATTTCCACTGGAAAAATTGTTTGTTTGTTTGTTTGTTTGACATCTCTACAATCCATCTGGCTACAAGGCCACTCTGGGAGGTTTACAATAAAAAAATTAAGACACAGAATAAAGACCTTCATCAAATTGCAACCATCAGTAGTGGATATAAACTCAAAATTAAGTGAAATCAAACAAATCAAAATAAAAAAAGAACATGCACAGTAAAATAAAATCAACATAGACATAAATGATTAAGAGATAAGATGGTGGAACAGAAATAAACACTGGAGGGTCCAATGTGTTACTCAGATGTCAGTTCCTAAAAAGCCATCTCTTCAAAGATCATTTAAAAATTCCCAGGGCAGCTAACAACATCACTAAATACAAGCAGTAAAACCATTAAAACCACTTTATCCCTGGTTGAATAGAAGTTTCTCTTCCCATCATTTCCCTGTAGCCCACTGTACTGTGTTCCAGAAGACCTATTGACTCATGGATACCATGAGCTACAACTTAAATGGAATGGGCTGTGGGAAAGAGGTTAATTCAGTCTGGATTTTATCAGAGAAATGAAAAATCCATGTACAAGAAGTTGGAACACATTTCCTGTGAGAACAAGTCCTTTCAAAATTCAAAAGATAATCTGTTCAGCCTCTAGTTTATGAAGGATATCTTGGTGATGTGGCAAATCTCAAACATTTTAATGCTGTTGATATTTATTGTTGTCACTGCAATTCTTCAGATTCAAAATTTTGAAGTGAACTTCAGAATTTATGTTTTTCAGAAATTTAAAGGAAGCCAAATTGTAATATCTTCCAGCCATCTTAAAACCCATAATTAGCACTATTCTGAATCGCATTATAGCATAGAGACTTTAAATTAACGCAGTCCTTTCCAACAGATTCTGAAAACTAAATGGAGATTGCCTTAAAGGTATTATATGCAGTGAAGAGGTAGTAGCGGGGATTGGAAGACTGACTGAAGGAGATGAGATAGTCCCCCTCCTTTGCACAGCCTTCTTGGTGGACCAAGGAGCTAAAAGGTGATAGGAAAAGTTCATAATGAAATGCTAGACCCATCTTAGCGTAATGTTTTCACTACCTCAACTAGCTTGTTAACCCTGTATTTAAGAATATAAAATTCAGCTGTCCTCAGTGCCATGTCTATCTTTAAATGAAATATGCATCATCCTTGACATTGCAAAACAAGAACAGAAACTTGACAGTTCATATAAAAGCAAAAGTGGAGATCATTTTAAGGGATCTGTTAGATTGAGTGGTGTGGCAGCAAAAGAGGAGTGGTTTCACTTAATAAGTGTCACGTTCCCGGGAGTTACAACAGCCAAAGTCCGATAAACCAGTCCAGGGTCAAGAATACCAAGAATGCAAAGCCAATGTCCATAAATTACCTCACAGAAGGAAGTCCAGTGTCAAAGTCCAGAGTCCGATACACAGCGTAGTCCAGAGTCAGAGTCCGAAGTCCAATGCCGGCGTAGTTCAAGGGCAGAGTCCAGAGTTCAGGGTTAGGAACACGATACAAGAAACGTGGATGCAAGCCAAGGTTTTGACTCCTTGCTTCCACGAAGTTTCTGGCTTCACTGGAAGCTGTTTTATAGTGAAACAGCTCCTTCAGCTGCTGGAAAGCTTTCTGTCCTGCTAATACTCAGGACTCGATGAACATAGGTCTCTGTGGAAAGCCTTTGAGCCATCCTCTGCTCTCCTTGTTCTAAGTCTTTCCCAAAGCCTGCCCCGAAGCCTGTCTGCTGTGGAGGGAGAATCTGGAGGCGGTTCAGATGTTTCTGATCTCTCCACATTCTCTTCAGCCACAGTTAACCCTTCTGGGTCCAGGTCTTCGGAAGCACTCATGACAATAAGCCTCCTTTTTTTCCATTCAAAACTAGGTGCACATTCCCTATACAGATTGTTTGCAAGTAAACCTGGTGCTCCCAGAAGCCTGAGAGGACAATTCTACTTGTAGACAAGGCTTGAGCACAGTACATGAGTTTTTTTAAAGGAAAAAGAAATTAGATGACATGGTGATATGTTGTGGCACTTCCATGGTTTCTGAAGGTAGCCCTCGGTTTTATAAATATCACTCAGAACTGACCTAGCAGTTAAAATCTGAGTTTCAGTTGCTGTACAATCCTTTTCCTTCACTGTAGCATCCTGCAGTAGAAAGGCAAAATTTTGTCTTTCCTGGCTCACACAAAAAGCTGTGGTACTTACAACAGGAGTTCAGTGCAATCGTTTGATATATAGACTTCTAGACTGTATAACTGGACATCGTTTACAGGATAAATTCCTGTAGTGTCCCGTAAGTTCAGGCTTTTCTTAATTTAGAATAAGGAATTGGATGTAGCTGTTCCATCTCTATTTCACTTTATTTCCAAGACAATAATTGTTTATACTACTATGAATATTCAGATGCACATGTGTCCTGTGCTTTAAAGACAAATGGGTATAAAATACATAAGGTTGCCAGTACTTCTAGGGTGTTTCTTTTAAAATTCTGCTTACCCAAGAAGCAGTTGGAATCTGTTAGGAAATACTTTTCTGCTCCCACTACCACCACCACCCATATCTGTATCCATTAAAATATTTGAAGAAAAGGCAAATGTGTTGATGTACAAGTGCATTAGAGATCTAAGTTTGTGAAGAGAATGAGAATGATTTGACAGTAAGCCAACCAGCATTACTATTTGTGGGAAATGTGGGGAAAAGAAAGGCTTCTTCCCTTTTTTCAAACTAAAACCAAAATGTTTATATCAGCACATACCAAGCATTTTTAGCAGACGGTTCATAGAGGAAAAATAGACTTTAAAAAAGCATTACATGTACAATTTTAATAAATTCACAGTGATTAGAGTTTTGAGGAGCAGAGAGTAATTATTGCTTTATATTTTGATTCTCTTTGTTGTTACAGTTACAGTATATGGTGTTGATGTGTGTGTGTGTGTGTGTATGTGTTGCTAAGCAACATTATACAATAATACAAAAATACAATAACATGCAGTAAATACTGTTACTATTTAAAAACTATCTTTAAATAAAAATACACAAATTAAGACTCATTTGAACATCTCGGGAGAATATGAACAGTTGATAGAAGGGAGCTTTATATAATTTGGTCTTAATTAGGTTCTTAAAAACAAAGAGAGAAGGTGCTGGGCGAACCCCTGTAAAAAACTTGTTCCAGGAAGGGGCCATGGATGAGAATGTTCAGTTCTTCGTGTTGGCTTTTTTTTAAAACCTCTGTAGGTATTACAATTCTTAACATCATGGACTGTGAGAAGCATGTGGGATGAGTAGCCATTTTGTGAGAGAGACATGCCAGATATCAAGTTCCTAAACCATTAAGGGCTTTATAGGTTATCACCACCACCTTAAATTGAGCTTGGAAACTAACAGGGAGCCAGTAAAGGCATGCCAAGACTGGGAATATGTTTTCATATCTACTGGTACTTGTAATCAATCTGGTTGCCACATTTTGAACCTTCGTAAGTTTCCATACTGACTTCAAGGGCAGTCCTATGTAGAGAGAATTACAACAGTCCATTTTAGAGATTACTATTTTGTAAACCAGTATTGTTAGGTATTTCTTATCCAGGCAGGGATGCAGCAATTGAGCAAAGTTGATTAAAGGCACTCTTTGCCACAGAAGGTATTTGTTTCTCCGTTGAGAGAGCAGGGTCCAAGAGTACCCCCATGCTGTGAAGTCAATCCTTCAGGCATGTGTAACCCAATCAAGACCAGATAAATATCTCTCTACCCAGTCCATTGATCCAAAAGTATAATTTACATTTACCTGGATTCAGTTTCAGTTTGTTCATTCTTGTCCAGTCTATTATCAATGTTGGGCAGTGCTCAAGGACTTGCACATTATCACCTGCAGATGAAGAGGGAGAGAGATCGTGATCTGTGGGTCATCCATATATTGATGATAACAAACTCCACATCTCTGCATGACTTCTAGCAGCTTCATATAGCTATTAAAGAACATTGGCAGTTTCCTGATCCTTGTGAAACCCTGTAGTGCAGTGGTCCCCAACCTTGGGCCTCCAGATGTTCTTGGACTAAAACTCCCAGAAGCCTTCACCACCATCTCTGCTGGCCAGGATTTCTGGGAGTTGAAGTCCAAGAACATCTGGAGGCCCAAGGTTGGGAACCACTGCTGTAGTAGATATCTGAAGAGATAGACAATACCTCCCTGAGCTATACCATCTGCGATCGGCTCTCAAAGAAGGACTGAAACTACTGAAGAATGGAGCCCTGACTAGACGGTGGATTGGACATCTCAACGTACTGGTATCAAAAAGGATTCAACGTTCCACTGGATGATTTCAGCCTTAGATCTACCAGATGGTTGCAATTCTTATTAATTTTTTTGTTTGTTTAACTTGTATACCACCTCACTTAGTGACACCTACTACTTTAGGCAGTTTAGAAAATAGACTGGCCTTGAGGGTTTTTTTTCTGATATATCTTTGGATTCTTCCCTGACAGCTGCCAGATTAAATTCTGTGAAAGATTTCCTCCATCTGCTCTCCAGCCTTCTTCACTTTGATACAGAATTAAGTTTGGGCATTTCCCAGCTTTGTTCTAGAGTTTACCCACCGCTTCCAGCAAGCCCTCCTCCTATAGACTTGAGAATCTTGGAACAAAATGTTTCCAAGGGCTACCTCCTGCTAGTGTGCCGGAAACAGAGAAGGAAAGGTTGAGGTTGTGACTCAAAATGCTTCTAGAGAGAGCCTGGCGCCCCAGCCATACAATCACACGGGTTTAGGAAAAGAGTCTAGGGGTGGGGATCTTCAGTGCTTTGGTAGCCAGGTTTGTTCCCTTGGACATACATTCTTCCTTTTTTTGCTGCTGTTACTCTTTGAGAAAATTTGCACATATGTGAAGCTGATTGATCTTCTGTACATGTGAAAATTGCTTTGTTGCGTAAGCATTCATAGAAGTACTGGATGGCTTGTTTGAACCTTGGTAAACAAGCTCTCTGCCCTTTTGTGATTTATTATGTTAACTTTCCAAAACAAAACAAAAATATGCTAAAGATGCTAGGTACAACAAGAAAAATAAATCTTACTTAGCATCTTACTGTTTGGAAGGGAAAATTCTTATGGGACGTAACAGTCCTTAACTCCCTGTCTAACCACGACACGACAGATCATATCAGCTATGAAAAGAAAGTTCTGCATTTTTTATATCTGTGGACCCACACTAATGGGTTCTTCTGCTTCTGCACAGAACTTTCCAAAATCTTTCCAAGCTTTTCACATCCCTGTTTGGGACACACACTCTAGGTCACACTTACCTGACATCTCCTGCCAAAATATGGTAGTGGATTTGTGGCAGAAAGTCACTCTTTAAGTAGGTGAAAACATTTGCATTAAATAGGGCATTATTGCATTGCTAAAATTCAGATGCACACTTTTCAGGAGTACCTGGGAGTGCTGCCAAAATTGTGTTGGGGACAGCATATAATAGCCTATGTAATATTTTCTCCTTGATCTAGAGATTCATAGAGATGTTAAACCCTCTGGCTCTCTTTAATTCCCTTGTCAGTTTTTCCCTCCTTGGACCGATTAAAGCAATGCCAGATATTTAGTAATGGTGTATATTGGCCACCTTATACTTTATACGCCACACTACTTAGGATGATGAGACTGGAGGCGGTACAAAGTTTATTGAATTGATTTACTGATCTCCTCAGTCCTGTGAAACTATGGAGGGTCTATAAAATTTAATCAAATTGCAATAGGTTGTATATTTTAATTGTATTTTCATGTTATACTAATATTTGAGTACATCTGCTGGTCAGTGACCATAATATCAATCAATCTTGTCAGTTTTTAAAAGATTCCATCCTCAAATATTTGCACACTATTTGGGTTCATGCATTGTTCTCAGCAAAGTGGGAATAGCTACTTCTGAAGTACAATTCAAAATTGAGAACTATACCTTATTTTTTTTGAAGATTTTATTCTCTTTATTCTTCATATATGCAATCACACATATTACAAAAGAAAAAAATATATTTGATTAGTATACCATACTCATAGAACACAAGCTAGTATATAGTTTCAAATAGACCTAACATGATAGCAATTAAGGCAATAAGAAGTGGAAAGGAGGTGCTTTGGAAGTGGCAGGTTGTTAGGTTGGAAAGCTTGCGTGACCACAGCTCTATTGGTGAGCCACAGGGATAGAAATTGATAGATTTAAAGGAACAAATGAAGGAGGTAAGCAGATCTGATCACTCTAAAGTCAGAGTAAAGAAGTCACTTCTTCTTTGGTAATAAATCATTGGGTATATATTGTATGCATATCCAGATCCCATTGTAACTCTGGAGGAAGCTCATTGGGCCTGGGAAAAGAGCAGTACATCCCTGAGGGGGCATTTTAGAAATTACTACATTTGAAGTCTCAGGAGTAGACCTGAGTAGCATAGAAGGTCACTCTTGGATAAGAGACAAATTGACAAGGACTTAAGGTTTCCTGTTCAGCCTTAAGACATCGAGGGGCTTAAAATTCACTATGCATCTGTGGCATTATTGGACATCATATCTGAGGGTGACATAGGGAGAAATGGGTCCTAGTCTATTCAGGACCCTTGGATTAAATGTTCTTGTTCATTTGTTTAAAATATTTTTGTCCTACCTTTTTCCTTAAAAAGAAACCAAGGCAATTACATTATTATAATTACGTTATGTAGAAGCTAAAAATAACAGGTATACAAATATTAAAATAGAATTAAACAAGTATTACATTAAAAACAGAGATAAAAACAATACTAAAATAGATTTTAAACAACAGAGAACAACCATTCATTTAAAATCCTTTTCAGCCCACCAGTTAATAAGAGAAAGCCTGCCAGAGTAGAAAGGTCTTTGCCTGCTTGTGGAAGGACAGCAATTATGGGGCCAGCTTAGCTTCCCATGGGAGGGAGTTCCAGAGTCTTGGAGCAGCTACAGAAAACACCCTTTCCCATGTCTCCACCAAATGCACCTGTGATGGTGGCGGGACTGAGTAAAGGGCCTCTTCTGATGATCTTAAAGCCCTGGCAGGCTCAAAGAGGGAGACACAGTCTTTTAGATGACTTGCACTCAAGCCATTTAGGGCTTTAAGTGTATAAACCAGCACTTTGAATTATGCCTGGAAGTGGATCAGCAGTCAGTGGAGATGCTATAACTAGGGGGGGGTGTGTGTGTGTGTCCCATGATCCCTGTAACCAGCCCCAGTTGGGAAATAATCGCAGATTTAGGATGAGGTGGGGGGCCAGAGTTCAGAGCAGAGTGCCATTTTGGAAGAACAAATTTTGCAGCCACCAGAGAACATAGAGATTAATCTGGAAGAAAAGTCTCTGGTATTTAACAAGGTGTAGAGCAAGAACAAGGTGTAGAGCATCACCTTGTGGTGCTGGAGGAGGCTCTTCAGAGTCCCCCGGACTGCAAGGACATTGAATCTATCCATTTTGAAGAAAATCAACCCTGAGTGCTCACTGGAAGGACAGGTCCTGAAGCTGAGGCTCCAATACTTTGGCCATCTTATGAGAAGAGAAGACTCTCTGGAAAAGATCCTGATGTTGGGAAGGTGTGAAGGCAAGAGGAGAAGGGGACGACAGAGGATGAGATGGCTGGACAGTGTCTGCGAAGCTACCAACATTAATTTGACCCAACTCCGGGAGGCAGTGGAGGGAGGAAATACTTGAGGGCTTTGAAGTTTTTTGTGAATGTATAATGATAATAATGCTATATAAATGAGTAATGTGGAGGAAATTTAATGGTGATGTGCTGTCACTGACCTCCTGGATAGATAGTGGTATAGTATCTTGCTGTGGAGCCAGAGGTTGGGAATTCTATTCCCTATTGTACCTCCTTGAGAGGGATTGAACTCAACTATTCATAGAGTCGCTTCCAGCTCTGCAATTCTAAGATTATGATTATTGTTCTTCTTGACACTGTGGTCATGAATAAAGTACAAGACATAGGGATGCTGGAACAATTTATGAAATCCCAGTATACTCTCTTTTTCTGTTAAGTAACTGGTGCTGCAAAACATACTAGTCTGTATTTCTTCACATAGAAAGTTAAATTTGAAGTTACCTAAATGTCTTTTGAATACAATTGTTTGAAAAATGAACTATGTTGGCAATCAATTGATATATCACAGTTTTTAAAAAACTGCATGTTGTCTTTACAGGTTGCAGTAGTGAAATTGAAAAATGCAGATAAAGTATTCGCCATGAAAATATTAAATAAATGGGAGATGCTGAAAAGAGCTGAGGTAAGACTCAAGGAATGTACATTCAAGCTACTATTAATATTACTAATCTTGTTGCTTCACTTTGAAACAACATGTTTAAGATCAATGAAGACCATGTTTGTTAATAAATATGATGTCTGAAATCCTGCAGCATAACTTGAGCCACATAAGGCTGATATGTCACCAGTTGGAGTGGGATTCTTTTCATTGTGAGGAAGCTGTTAGGGACCATGGGTGGGAGGGAGTATTTTAATTTCCAAAAACACACACCAGTAGGGTGATTTTATCATCAACAGAGATTTTTGGAAATTAAAGACCTCCCCCGTCCCCCAGTGGCTTCTACACAATGAAATGAAAAGGATTCCAAGGGAGCCTCGACAACTTGGGGGCGTGGTCAGAAAATTTAAATTTCTATAAAGTTACTGCAATTGTTGATATCATCAGCCTTATGTGGTATATGTTGTGCTCCTGGATTTCAGCCAGTATCCCAGTATCTCTTGACCTGTCACAGTTTCATGTTCATTATTTCTTTCTGCTCTGTTTGCTCTACGTTACTTCATTTGTAAAGGAGATTGGTGGCTATTAGTTCAAGTTTTTGTATGATTTTTAAAATATCATCAATGAATATATAAATTACACGTACATTTTATTTACTAAGCATTTTTTTAAAAAAGTGGTCTCTGTAATTGATTAAGCTAAAAATGTGATTATTAGCTAATTGCCTTTGAAACTAGTGCAGTCAGTTGTTCAGATGCAGCAAGAGCAGTATGTGTACAGAATCAGGCTTCCAAACATGGATTCCTTGCTGTATTAAGACCTGTGTGCCCTAAAGGGTGTGTGCACATAGTTTATGTTATGTTAGGCATCCAGTGCTGCGCCCTTGGCTCATGTTACTGGATTGCAATCATGTGTTCAGTACCCAACAGATGGCTAGCGATACCATTTTTAGCAGTGATTATCACCTCTTTGGGGAAGGTAGAAAAATTGCATTTGTCTTGCTTCCTCTTGATAATTCTATAGTGTCACAGCAGGCTTTGCTGCCATCTGTTGGGTGGATCCCCTTTAGCAGCCCTTGTACCTACTGTAGCTAATAACACAACTCTAAAACGTTGTATTACTCTTAGGTTTAGATCCTTGAGTTAACAGATTAGGCCAAACTTCCATTGTCGACGATGGAAAAATCAGACTTGTCCATAATGTTTAGTGTATTCTAATATAGAAATTGTAAACAACAAAAAGAGTTAATTTCAGAATCTAAGGCAATTTTATTTATGTGTATAAATAGTCCTAGTGATACACTGGAGTACAAAACCCATTGTAGTGTAATGGATAGAGTGATATACTAGGACTCAGGAGAGATGGATTTGAATCTCAGCACAGCCATGAAAGCTCACTTGGGATGTGGAACTGCTAAGACCACTCCTTAAATACCTTACAGTCCTTACCTTGAAAGCCCTATTAATGCCACTATAAGTCAGTTTCAACTTGGTGACACATAACAACAACATATTGTAAAAATGTTCAAGGAGAGGCCTGTTAGTGTGGTGTTACATGCATTTCTTCTTACATGAGCATGGGATCTGGTGGAATTTAGCATTCCCCACAGATTCTGGAAAAACATTATAGGCACCCACAGTTTAGGAAAGGGCTTCTCCTGTTTGGTGAGTAAGAACTTGTGAACTTTAGAATGATGCTGATTATTCACTTTTTATAAGTAGAAATAAATTTAAACTTAAATTTAATTTCAGTAAATATCTTTTACTATGACTAAATGAGGATAACATTTGGGCAAATGCAGTTGCCTCACATTACCCTTTCTAAGCAATACCAGCCAGCAGCAGCTTTCTCAGTGGCTCAAGAAAATGCTTCCCTCACCCTTTTTAGTTCTTTAAATAACACGAGTTGCCTGGCACATGCTTCTACTTTGTTACCACTCTTCCTTGATTACAATTGAAGTATCAGGTTTGTAACATCCGGGGATAAAGCAAGAATGTGACATGAAAATATTATTCCAGTTTTTCTTAAGACTGAGTGAATGTCAAAAATTCCAGCAGCTAGGACCTGTGAGAAGGAGCTTAAATAGATTTATAAGTTCAGAAGTCGTTAATAACTTCAGTTTAGTAGAAACATCAGTTTCAAACCAACCCTAGTAGGATAGGTTGCCTTTAAAAAAAAACTAGTTCTATTTAGGTTTGTTTCTGCATAACAGCTTTTTTCTTTTTTAGAACTAATAAGGCATTCAAAATTTTAAATAATTATAAGTAATACATAGTCACATATTTTTGTTGTGTTAGAATATGTGTGTGTATACACACATGAAGACACCAATGTGTAGATATAGAACACATAAATACTTGTAGAGTTTTAACTTGCACTAAGACAGCCCTTCAGAGACAGGATGGATTTTCTAGCTAATCAGAATTGACAGCTTCGACATTTAATCTCCATCCTGATATAAACAGTGGGATACAGAAATACAACTGATTTCCCTCATGTATATTGCAGTACACATTCCAGAACTCTATATGGTAGTATAGGAAAGATAATGTTTTTGTTCATAGTTAAAAATAGAAGCCTTCATCAACTGGCTAGAGAAAGTATCACCTACTAAATATTGGTCTCATAGCTTGGGATCCAGAGAGCTAATTAGTTCACATGTTTATTTGAAAGCAAGTCACACTATGCTTCTTTGGGCTTAATCATTAAAAAAGTACATTTAGGATTGCATTATTAGAATGATCAAGCATGCACAGGATTGTACCACTGAGTCATCCAGTTGAATTCATTCCTCCCCAACCTTTTTTTTTAACCTGAAACAGCTGGCACTCATATACTAACACAAGCTGGATTAAATATGGTCACATTTTCAGATGCCATTTGCCATAGTGGTTGGTGAAGAGAAGGAATGTTGTTTGAGAAATACTGTTTTAAAACTCACAGAACTTCTGCCATGCTTTTATTTTGGTATCTTTTAAATTGGGAATATATCGGAAAGAAAAACATGAGAGCACAGAGTTCTGACTCCTGTCCTCTGAAGATGCCGCCCACAGAGACTGGCAAAATGTTAGGAAGAACAACCTTCAGAATACGGCCAAAGAGCCCAAAAAACCCACAACAACCATGTGAATATTTGTTTATTTCTCTAAATTGATATGTAATAATGTAATGCGATATAAAAGTTCAGCATTAAATTTAAAACTTATTTTCTCACTCAGTTACACATATTTCTCACTGCTATACTTCAAGATTCCTTGTATCTTATGTATTGAAAACTGCTACTGAGCCTCCAGAACAAAACTCAGAACATTATTCTTCAGCAGTAACACGTTGGCATCAGTTGTTGTGTAAAGGGAATGTTAGATGTTGTGAGATGTTCTTAACATATTAGAAATACATTACTTTTTTGTACTGGTATCTGTCTCTAAGTTATATCTGAATGTTTTTCTTAATTCTTCAGACAGCTTGTTTTCGAGAAGAGAGGGATGTTTTAGTGAATGGAGATAACCAGTGGATTACAACATTGCACTATGCGTTTCAGGATGAAAACTATTTAGTGAGTGTTACTTGAAGTTTATTAATTTTCGCAACTTGCTGTGTTCAGTAGTAATGTGTATTCTCATTAATTTCTTAATCATCATTTTGGTCTTTAAAATCAAACATTATTATGTGTTTTATTTTAGAATTCTGAAGTATACTAGAGGAAGAGTTTTGTAAATTTTTTACTTTTTAAACTAGCTGTTAAAGTTAGGCTTTTCTGTGTCATTCTGAAGGAGGATGTACATTTAATGCATAACAGTAGCCTCAAGCACCTGAAGCCATGGAATTGGGTTATGCTGTTGCATTATCTTGATATAGACGGGGCATTGATGGTGACAAGTTTTGTCCAATGTCTCTGATATTATATGATTTTATCTAAATAATGTATTTTTATCTTCCTGGTCATTGATCATAATAATTTATGTTTTTCTCTTTCTGCAGGGTATGGGTTTCAAGTAACCCCACCTCCAGGGATGCTGGAGGACACCAAAGGCTATATCGATAGCCTGGTCTCTGGGCCCCTCTCGTGGCCAGTTCTGGTAACGTCATCGTTAAAAATATATTTTGGGTGGATTTTTAAAAATAATACTTTTAATATTTTCAGACTGTGGATAAGTGAATCAGTGGATATTTGATCCCGTGGATAAGGGGCTCCTACTGTACCGTAATAGCAGATAAAGTCCCAATATCGCCCTGGGCACAAATCTTCATAAAAGATGACTAAATACAGGTACCCATTTACTGTTGCTCTTTATAGGTCGCGTGTTCAAATGGTGCTGTTTTAATGTAGACCATATTTATATCTAACATTCATATTTCTTTTCATGGAGGTGAAACCTTAGTACAGTGGTGCCCCGTTTAATGATTATCCTGCTCCACGACGAATCCGCTTAACGATTCGGTTTTTGCGATTGTTTTTGCAACTGCAAAACGATGTTTAGATAGGAAAAAACTGCTTTACGATGATCGGTTCCCTGCTTCGGGAACTGATTTTTCGCTTTATGATGATCAAAACAGCTGATCGTCGGGCTTTCAGAATGGCTCCCCACTGTGTAAAATGGCTCCCCGCTGTGTTTCCTCGCTTTACAGGCACCAGAAAATGGCCACCCTATGGAGGATCTTTGCTGGACAATGAGGTATTTGGCCCATTGGAACGCATTAACCGGTTTTTAAGGCATTCTAATGAGCTTTTTACTTTTGCTTGACGATGATTTCGTTCTACAGCGATTTTGCTGGAATGGATTATCGTCATCAAGCGAGGCACCACTGTACTTACAATTAAACAGGAACAGTGTCAGTGTTGCAAAATTGGTTATTGAGCAACAGAGAAAGTTGATTCACCTGACCAGGCAGGGGAGCTTGTCAAAGTTTGATATTTTATCTAAGTATTAAATGATAAATGTGAAATGTAAATATGCCATTGAAGCCTGAACAGTAATGAACTTCTGATAGAGGTTCCTTCCGGACAAAGTAATCTTAAAAATGGGAAGGGGGGGAGAAAAAAGTAACATTAGAAGTGGCAGTAACTAAATGTCCATTAGAGGCCATTGCAGAGCAATTACAAACCTCCCATTCTTTTCCATGTAAATCTGCACAAATAGCAGAGTCTGTGGAAAAGTCTGTTGGATCTACAATGGTAGCAACTCCTATACGGAATGAATTGTGTTTGCTACTGGAGCAGAATCAATGAGATTTTGAATTGATTCATCTAGCTTTGTAACAAATTGAAGATAGGGAGATTGTTTTTGTTTCCGTAATCAGTAGGTTGTCCATTTGAGTAGCAGAGTCGCTCTATGAGATTTTGCATTAACCTACCAGTAGAATTTTCAAGCTTGGCAAGAATATATAAAAAACAGATAAAGAATTTATAAATATCCATGCCTATAAAAGGGCTGGTGAGAAAACTGTCAGCCAGCCAACAAGGGCCAGTGGAGCCAAGCCAAGCTAAACAACACCTACAGATACAGCAGTACAGAGGCAACACACAGAAGTCATGGATTTTCCTCCCTAGATTTTAACTGATGGATGGATGGGTGAGCATGTAGGAAACTTAATATTTTTCCATGTGTGTGTTGAGAAATTTTTATCTCCAGTAATGAAGCTGCCCAGAGACCTTTGGGTAGAGT